AAAATAAAAGTAAATTATAATAATTTTCAGTTTTCAAAAGTATTTTATTCGAATTCTGTTCTAATGCGATTCATGATGTTGGGGATTTACTGAATATAACTGTAATCGCATCGGATTTTGTTTGCTTAGCTTGGGTTTATAGTCAGTATCAAAATAATTCTTAAAATCCTTAGTATCTTTCGAATTATTTATTTTTTTATAATGAAACGCTATTAACTTTGTTAAGCAACTTTTCCTGGAAAAATTTCAATTGAAAGTCTTCCACGTCTCTTCACTAGAAAATCATTAGCACCAACTTCGCATTAATCCTTCCGACAATCACCCCTCGCACGTCACCCCATAAACAGCACCGAGATTATTATTTCGACGAGATTCCATCCTCCAATTACGGCGGCGCACAATAGCGTACTAGAGAGAGACCTCTCGATTATCGTCTGGGTGCTTGCTCCTTCGGCATTCTAGACTCGTTAATCAACTCTCCTCGGAAACCGATAACTCGCGGCATCATCTTTGCAGAAGTTCACGTATGGCTTTGCCTGCCATACCGTTTTCCCATTGGAGGTCGTTCAATTAAACTATGACTAATTCCTGACGCGGCCTGTGGGTGGCTAAGACCCTTCATTGTTTGTTCGGTTGAATCGGTGAAGTGGCACCGGTCATACCTACCATATGCCGTGGTTCACTTTGACGCCCACTGAAGTGTGTGTATGCAACGCGATCGCCTACCCTTTCGATTGTAGTATCCCGTTGTCGTCTGTGCACCCGGGGGAACTGGTTATGTTTGATGGGAAATGGCGTGTGCAATTTGCATATATGGGCGCTCGGGCTTGGCACTCAGGGTTGTTAAACTCTAGTATTACAAGATCTTTATCGTGCCTGTCGTTTGAATGAACTGTTGACAAATTGGGATAGATCATATTATAGTAGTTTCATTTTACTTTAAAGTCTTCACAAATCCATAAAAAAAATATAATAATATGTAGTGATTTATAAAAAAATACTTGATTGCTTCTGAATTGGGTTTATCGTTAAACTGAATTGGTAGAGATTCTTGCCTGGAAGCGAGTCGTAAATCGGAATTGCAAATTTCCTATTAAAGGGCAGGATGGGTGCCAAATTTGTCCACCATTTCAGATCGCAACCATCCGTTATACTCGCAATTACGACTCGAAATTACTAATTAAAGGGTTGGGCCCGATCGGTCCCAGTTTCAACTTTTACAATTTCGGCCGTCAATTCGAAATTTTAATTAAAAACGACCGGACGACGGCCACCAATTAGGGCTAATGGATGGTACAAAAATCAGACGTATGACATTACTGATTAACCAACTAAATTTAAATGAGCTCAGCTTCTATATTTATAACATTTATAAACAAGATTAATTGGTTATGAATTTTAATTTCTTAGTTGTAGATAAAAATTTAAAATAATCGAAAGAAGGTCATGACCACATCATGAAGGAATGGTCGTACTTTTCTCCCACCCAGCTTTTCGTAGTAAAAATAACTGAAGATGTTAGCTATTCTGGATGGATCGCGTTCGTCTGGCACAATGTCAGACGCCTGGCGTCGTCGCTGGATTCTTCAAGTTTTTATTTCCCCGTGGCAGTTTTAATTAAAAGGCGAAACTTCGCGTTGTTCCAGACGAAACGTTAATCAGCGAACTGGAGAAGTGTAACGTAAACAGTTCCAGGAAATTTAGACTTAAAACTTTAACGTAATCCATTATTTAAGCTTTTTTTACTTAATTCTCTTTTGATTGTTTAAAATTGTGAGGTTTTATGGTTTCTTCCATCGTCATCGATTAAGCCCTATTTTGCATTAAGTATTGAATATGGTGTGGCGTAATAAGCAATCTATAAAAAGACGTTACATCACATCCGACATCGATCGATTCAATGAATCATCAAAATAATGACGGAAAATGTTAACTTTTAAATATTTTATTTCTTAAAATCTCTTTGAACAGTTAAACCAAATTACATCTTTTGAATTTAGGAGGAGCACGAAGCGTAAATTGAGCACTATATCTTTATTATGGAGGAAGAAACGTGTATTGTATGATTTGTAAGGTATCTCGTACACAAAGAGATCCTTTTATTATTTATTCCCCGGAATCACGTAATATCGACGTTCCAAGATCACTTAATTACGGAGAGTACGTGCTCGAGGAGATTTTTCTCTTGGAGGTGTCGAGAGATTTATAGCAACTGTACGTGAAAGATATAAGCGTTTCTTGCGGTATTAGAGAACGGTGCTTTGCCAACTTTCTACTGATAGGATAATATTAAGGAGATAACTTAAGTTATTAGACATCGATTCGCAATGAATTGACCGGATGTAATTATCTCAACGCTGCAAGGTTGTTAATGTACTGTTTGTTCATCTATTCAGTTTATTATTTGAATATAGAATCGTTTTCAAGACAAATTTAATAATATTTAAACGTTAAATATAATTTTTGGTGGAGGTGCCGGATTACATTTCTTTAACAATTTGATATGTATATAATATAGATTATTATTAATTGAGGTATTAACCGATACAATGATGCATTACGAATATTTTTTCTTCATAACATCTTTCTCCATCAGTTTTAGTACTTACGCTTAGTTAATTTTATTTAGAAAAATCGACCAATTTTGTCATTTTGTGATTTATGCTATATCACTTGAAACTGATGGTAGGTAACTATGAAATAAGTATGGATTATGATTTCTTGATGCATTAGGAATATTTTTTATTCACAACGTCTTTCTCCATCAGTTTTAGTACTTAGGTTATAGATAATTTTATTAAGAAAAATCATTCAATTTTAATATTTTGTGTTTTATGCTATATTATTAGAAATTGGTGATAGATAACTATGAAATAAATATGGATTAGGATTTTTTGGTGCATTAGGAACATTTTTGTCTCTAACGTCTTTCTCCATCAGTTGTAGTACTTACATTATAGTTAATTTCATTAAGAAAAATCGTCCAATTTTGACATTTTGTGATTTATGCTGTATCATTAAAAATTGGTGATAGATAACTATGAAATAAATATAGATTATGATTTCTTGATGCATTAGGGACATTTTTTGTCCATAACATTTTTCTCCACCACTTTTAGTACTTACGTTATAGTTAATTTTATTAAGAAAAGTCAACCAATTTTGTTATTCTGTGATTTCTGCTATATCACTAGAAACTGATGATAGGTAATTATGAAATAAGTATGGATTATGATTTCTTGATGCATTAAGAACATTTTTTGTCCATAACGTCTTTCTCCATCAGTTTTAGTACTTAAGTTATAGTTGATTTTATTAAGAGAAATCGTCCAATTTTGACATTTTGTAATTTATGTTATATCATTAGAAATTGGTGATAGATAACAATGAAATAAATATGGATTATGAGTTCTTGATGCATTCGCAACATTTTTTGTTCATAACGTCTTTCTCCATCAGTTTTAGTACTTAAGTTATAGTTAATTTTATTATGAAAAATCGACCAATCTTGTCATTTTGTGATTTATGCTATATCACTAGAAACTGGTGATAGGTAACTATGAAATAAGTATAGATTATGATTTCTTGATGCATTAGGAATATTTTTTATTCGCAAAGTCTTTCTCCATCAATTTTAGTACTTAGGTTATAGATAATTTTATTAAAAAAAATCATCAAATTTTGTCATTTTGTGATTTTGCTATATCACTACAAACTGGTGATAGATAAATATGAAATAAGTGTGGATTATGATTTATTGATGCATTAGGAAATTTTTTATTCCTAACGTCATTCTCCATCAGTTTTAGTACTTACATTATAGTTGATTTTACTCCTATTTTGAAATTTTAGTGATTTATCACTAGGAACAGAGGAACAGTTGTAACAGGTATTTGGAACTATTACTTCTTCGAAACAGCAACATATTGTATCTGTTCCCCAAAAATACTAGTTTATAACACCTCCAATTATTAATAACAAGGGGCGAGTATGACCGATGAGGTGCTTAGACCATTCACGGTTAAAAAAAGTTCTGCTTTGACGCGTGATTACTCATTCTCTGGTATTGATCGAAATTCGTCCCTTGTCTACGTCAGTTCACAGGCTGAATCTCGATTAAATAAATTTCACCCAATCCAAGCCACAATCACGCCGATTTGGCAGTTAATCCCATTTCAAATCACGCATGCTTAACCAAACTTTGAGGTTATTGACAGACCGCTCACAATAGCTTTGTTCAAATACAAATTTATTCAACAAAAATAACCCAGAAGCTTCTATAAGTTTCTATAAACTAAAATCAGATGTTACACTTAAAGAAAGTAGCATATTATTGCACGTTTTCTTTTCGCGTCCTAAATTCCAATATTGTATCAATTTCTTTAATGAGAAATGTTTTTGTTTCTTTGGGATCTAATATCAATGTTGAAATATTTTATTGTAATAAATATGCACTAAATTCCTTTACCGCCTCCGCTTACACCTGCGATCTCACCATTTACTAGCTGTGGCTAGTGGTAAATACTTAGTTCGTTGCCGACGCTGAAGAGAAGGTCGTCGAACCGGCGCACTTTATGCCTGACGGATTTCGCACACACCACTTACTCCCGTTTTCTCTTCAACTCTTTGAAGCTACCTTTATTACGTTCTTCTTCAGCTGCTCTTCCCCCAAACCAACGCCACAACCCAATCGGGTTGTTGGTACAAGCCACGTGTATTTCGCACTTGCGACGTCACAACTGTTCCACCGGTTCGTTCTTATGGTCTGGTCCCCTAACAACAAGTAAACAAGGTGATCCCATGCGTGCTTGCTCATAATTATAGCGCCGCAAACGTCGGAGTTTACTGGTTGTAATGAATGAATATGCGGTATGCGAGTATGGAATTCTCATTAATGTTGGCTTATATAAATTACCTTACGAAAGCGTAAAGAGAGAGATTGTTGGTGTAAATAATTATACGTATGAAAATAATTATAAAACATTTCTTTTTCTTTTCAGACGATATCGATTCAATTAGTCAACGTTTGGTGGAACAAGCAAAGATCCAAGGGTCGAACGATAACATCTCAGTAATTGTGGTCTTTCTTCGAGAACCTTCAAAAGTAGCTGCGGACGCCCACTGGGCAAACCGCAATACAACAACAAAGATGGAGGCAGGTCTGGATAATGCTAACGCGACGAATAACCCATTCGCAAATTCCAATGGAGCCGAAATTCTACAACAAAAAGACGATTTCCTTTTAAATCAACCCAAAGATGACTTCCTCTTAAACCTCACTGAAGGTTTTAAACAGAATGGAGGTCAATCTCCAACTGCAAACAACCGACATTTCACCAACTTCGACATGAATCCATCCAATGGAAAGAGGCAATCCTTGGATGAATTTGATGAAGACGAAGATATGGGCCCAGAAACTGATGTGGATACTGTTGATGACATTCCATCTCCAGTAGATGCTAAACAGGTGATGTTTCACCAAGATAACGATGAAAATCAAAAAGAAAACGCTTTCAATCCGTTCACTGATATCGAAGAAAAAGAGACGTGCGATGTTGATATCGACCTAGAATTGCAGAAACAACAAAGTGTTGAATTCGAAGTACAGGAATCTATGAGAGAAGAAACGCCAACGCCCCCAGGTGAAAAAGGTAAGAAGTCTACACTTTTATTTATCGATTGAATCAGTTCTGAAGTTCACCAAAGCGGCAATAACGGCCGCAAATCTATTCCCACCTGTCTTGAAGCAGTAGCTATCAATGAACAGGAACGGTTACGGTTGAATAACACTCCACTAGTGTCTATTTCGTAGTTTTATCGACTATCCATTTAAAATGTGTAATATAAAAGAGTTAAAACAGTTCTATATATGCTAATTGTATTTTCAATTGAAAGTTATCCTTCGATAACAGCTGTTTAACTCGTTATACGTGGAATAATAATAAACGCGTTTGAAGCGAGATTGTTGACCTGAGCAAGTCTTGAATCCTGCGAACTATACCACATGTTGTTAGCCGTAATCTAATCTCGTGCGTTATTATGGATGTGTGTTATTACGAAAAGGTTTACTTGACGTGGAGAATCTCGAACTCGTACGTGCACTTAGTTATAATATTCCTGTTAAGCTGGGCATAATTTGACATGAAATTCCACTTAAGAATTTATCGCTATACAACGAAAAGTGAAATTATTATTTAATCTTAATGTCAATTATAAAATGGTGGAATTAATAGAATCCTACTCGGATTGTTGTATTTCTATTCGATACATAAATTAAGGACGGTAATTCTAGTTTTAATTGTTATTGAGAGCTAGATTAATGCTAGAGCTAACAATAGACCTAGAAACGTTCGGGTTTCTAGTTATAGATCTAGTGTTAGTTGTAATGCTAGTATTAGTTCTAGTCTTAGTTGTTGTTCAGCGTTAGATTGTTATGTATTTTTCTTTGAGCTAAAACTAGCACTAACACTAGACCTAGAACTAGAATATTCTTCGAAACTTCTAGTTCTAGGTCTAGTGTTAGTTCTAGTTTTAGTTGTTATTCACTGCTAGATTGTTGTTTAGTTTTATTGAACTAAAGCTAGAACTAACAATACACCTAGTATTAGAAACATTCGGGTTTAGTCTAAATCCGAATATTTGTAGTTCTAGGTCTAGTGTTAGTTCTAGTACTAGTGTTAGCTCAACTTTTAACACATTAAAGTGCAAATTAAAAATTTTTCATATAACACATTTGGTTATAACGAACACTCTTGTAGCTTCCCCGTCTTAATCCGTACACGATACACAAAATTAACGCTTGTAATGTGTAACTGTTCAATAATGCGACTTCCGTCAATAATAATATAGAAAATGCATAGTTTAAGACAGGAAATAATTATTTAGCCGCAAAATCTAGTAGTTAATGATATTGTATAAGAATACAGTAGCCGCAGGAAGAATGTTTACAGACTTAAGTAGATATAAACGAACGCATTAAACAGTGAGTTATCCTGCACATCTTAATAGGATAGGGAGTTGTCATTACTGCGCAATACGGATGTGATGCACTCGATTCCTATGTACGATAACGACCTTAATAACTTGAAATAACCAGTCGTCGGCGCCTTTTATTACGTTTTCTTCCGCGATCGTTCTTTGTTCGTTAAAAAGCGATCGCGACTTGTAATGTTGGCGATCTGTTTACATCTGTTTTTCTTTCTTCATTATTATCCGGCGATTTCTTTTGAATCCTCTTTAAAAGCAATTTTGTAGCAGATCACGTAGACTAATTCGCATTGCAATCTGCATGTCGTGTTTCTAAAACCGAAGGTTGGCATTATTGAAATGCTGCTTTCTTGGGCTATTGAAGGTCGAGGCATGAGGTGGCCTTTCGGGATCCCACTAATGGAATTTCATGCAATTGAGCTTGGTGTTTAGCTGGTAGCTGGAGAATGTTGGAAAGGAATGGTGAAATTATAGAGTTTTCCTCGGGATAAATGAACTTTCTGCGAATAACTCAGATATTTTGATCTTAAAAATCATTAATTTTTAAATAAATTTTCTTTAGTATAATAATCAAGGAACTGTTGCTTTCTCCTGTATTCAATATAGGAAGCCGGATGCAATATGAGCTCCGTTTGAGTATAAAGGTGGTACCCTTCCCACGAGAAATCCTATACATGTCACGTAGAATTGTGTTACATCGAAGCAAAACCGCAATAGTGCCCCAGACTAGACATAGACCATATTGATTCATTTATTTCCTCAAACACTGCCATGTAGTACACAGGCAAATTACCACAAACGTTTTTTTCTTTAAAACGAACAAGTATAAAGCGGGGATCAAGTTATACAATCTATGATATGATTTGATTAACCTTTATAAAACATGGGGAAATCGTGCAGAGTAATAAACGTGCATGATTCAATTAAAATTTTAATTCGGGTTATTCTCCTCCAGCGAGATGCATTTTGTAACGTAAATAATTAAAAAGCAAACTGGATGGTTCGACAAGTGAGTTTTAAATTTTTGAGAGAGAGGTTTTGTCTCGTCCACTTTCCCCATGCACACTCGGCTGAACGAGCGACAATAATGGGGAAAAAAGCTAACGAGTCTCGAATAGAGGGACACACAAGCTGCAATCAAACAGTGCGTCGCTGATTACGTCGGGGGATTTGAAACAATTGTGAATTTGAAGCTTTTAATTGCACCGTCTAGGCTATGCTTAACGACGATCGTATTGAATTGTCAATGTAAAACCACATTATTAACTTTTTACCAAAAACGACGTCAAAGTGACATCTTAAAAGTATGTTATTACATTTTTGCAAGACATTTAAATGGTTATTCGAATGCATTGTAAGATTATAACGATGGCATTACAAAAGCCTTCGAAGGGAATTCGGTCTGAAAGCAGCCGTGGGGTGTTAATTACCAGATCCCCTATCAACAATGGCTCACGTTCGCGCGTCACCTTTCACTCCCACTCGACCCGCATTCCCATTATTTATTACAAATCCAACAGTCACTCCCCATTTTGAAACAGTCTATACCCTACGCCCATTTGGAATTCCTGCGTGTCACGGGTCGGAGTTGAACACTTCATCTCCACAAAAATCCATAATGGGGAAATTTGTAAAACGAATTGATGTCGGCGGCAACGATCGCGAAGAAGTCTGGGCGTCTAGTCGTCACCAGGAAATTGAGATTTTATCTTTGGTGCCGAAGTAATTGTGGCTGTAACGGCAGCCTTCGGGAGAACGTAGGTATATAGAGGAGTCAGTTACGGTCTCGTTCCCGTTGTAATTGTTTTAGAAGCATTCGCTCGGCGGCGTCTCGAAGCTGCTTTTGTTGCTCATCGTGCAAACGATTGTTAACGTTTCCGCCATCGTATTACGGTACGTCGAAGCTAACACAGCAGGGTGTGGAAATCTAACGCGAATATATCGACTTACTAATGGTCTATACGTTACGGAAACTGTACGTGTATGTGCTTTTACATTAACTTGATGATGGTATAGAAACATTTCCTGTGAATATATTTAGGTACATTAACGGCGAATACATTCTAGGTAGAGTGTATCGTGACTACTGAACCAGAACCAACACGAGACATCATAAAGTTGGTATTGTTTGCTGTAATACTACATAAATTTATTGAGTCGTATTTAAATCGAAAACAACTCGAATGTACTATAAATGTTAAAAATATCATTTTAAAAAGTTTTAATGTTTTCAGTCTAAGATACTAAATTAGATCCTGAAGAGGGTCTTATTAGATCTTGTTTTCGAATAATATGTAAAGATGATATGGGACTGCCCGAGATCAACCATTTGTCCAATTCAACTTCAAACTTCATTCATTTTTCTATTTTAGCTACAAGCAACTTTTGCGGATTTGAATAAGAACTTATTTTTCTGCCTTGTATTACCCAATGGAAATGGATGTGTCAGAAAGCGGTGAATCGCGTCAATATCACATTTGGTCACTACACAATTAATAACCTCTCCAATTTTAGCAAAGATTCTTCTCCCATTCGAGAATCAAGTCATCAAACAAAGACTTTTAGCATTCTGAACGACAACAGATTCCGTCATATCACTAGATTTTACATCTTTACGTATATCGTATCTTGAAATACGTTACTGCCAACTGGGTTGTCTCAAAGAAAAGAGTGCTCAACATCTCTGATAATTTTGCTGAAACATGCAAGATCCATAAGTTACTTTAATGCTTAGATGGTATGTTTTTCTTATATATTTTGATTTTAAATTCGTGAATTCTCTCTTCAGCCTTTGGGCTTTAATCCACGGTGATACTTCTGGTCTTTCCTGCAGTTCTCTTATCTCGTAGTTCATTAATTATCTACTTCCTCCCAGCTCTGTATCATATTTTGGCCCATATATCCTTCTTAAGATCTTTCTTTCAAACCTATTTAACAATTGGACAACGTTTTAGGCTACGCTTTAGGCTACTTATTAATGAACTGAATCCGGAAATGTCTACATGGTTAATATCGAGGATGATCATTGTGATGAACTTATATCGACGTCTGTGATATTGACCAAAGAATTAAAGAACTGTTGAGGATAACCCAGTTTATGAAGCAAATCAAGTTAATTATTCAATTGATGACATAATCATGAGTATTGGTTTACTCAAATTTCATGAACACAACTGGATCATTTGTATGAAGCTGAAAAGTCAACTTACAAGAGTCAATTGTTAATCCTCAATTGAAAAGTGTAATTTTTTCTTCTTCCACATCTCAAGCTTGTAATAATGAAATGATTTGTTATTTTTCTTGTATCTCATTGTACATAATAAGTATTACATCAACTATATAAATATTTCATTCACATTCCATGTTACATCTAATACGAAATAAAGATTTAAATAACATATAATTTATATGATATCTTAGAAACTTATAAGTCAATGAAACCATAGTTTATTCTGCCATGGAATACTTTAAGCCGAGTTATTCAAATACATTCCATATTTTATGAATCAGAAATTTCATCTAAATACGTGCTTCTGAAACTTAATACACTTTAAGTCTCAGCAGGTGATCGTAACTACTTGAATTGCTATTAGAGAAGATGTAGTGAGTAAGTTTAGTTAACATGCTTGCTAAATTTGAATAATTTGAAATGTTCTCAAAACTC